CAAATAAACACTAAATTAAACCAACAACTACTAATTAAACATTAGTGGTAGGTAATCTTGAGAACAAGGCCAGGGTAAATATCATCATCATCATTGATATGAGTATTCTCTACCAATATAAAAAGATCACCGCATTTTTCAGATATTGTTTGAAGTGTTTCTCCTTCTCCAACTATGTATATTTCATCGCACAATACTAATTGTTGATCGTCTTCTTTAAGATTTCGAGCTTCCAAAAAAGAACACTTTGGTGAAAGCAACAAAAACATAAGAAAAATAGTTGAGAAATTGAAGTAATTTGTTGAGGAAGCCATAATATTTGTGAAACTAAATAGATTAATGTTGTAGTAAGTATTTATAAGACAAAATAATTAGTACGTGAAGGAAGTGGGGGTTGCTCCACGTTTCTAATATTTGGGTTGGTACGTGGAGCAGTTATTTACTCCATTTCCACAAATTGCCTTTTTTATTTGTTTATTTATTTTGCAATTTTTAAATACTTTCTAATTTACAACTTACAAATATTTATTTTAATTATAATAGTAACAAGTTAAGCATATGTGTTTTTGTAGGTATTGGCGTAATGTTATATCTATCTAAATAATAAAAAAATGATTTTAGAAGGTTAAAAAGGTGTTTTTTTTTATATTTTAAATTTATTTATTTATTTTGTTTATCATAATTTAAATAAGATTTACATAAAGTCAAAATATTAATTTTAAAGTTTTAAATGTTAGGACTTGTAATATAATTCAAATGAGAAAAAAAAATTAAGATGTAAGATTTGAGTCAATTTAAAAGTACTAAATATTAAAAGTTCTTATTGTTGTGTAAATTTTAATGATGATTAATGTTTAATTGTAGGAGAACCAAATTACAATGAAAAAAATATATCAACTCAGCATCTAATTTACATGGAGTATATTTCGCAAATTCTTACTTGCTTTAAGTAACAAAAAATAAAACATACTTGCTTTCAAATTATTATTTTTTTGCCACTTTTTTTTCATCCCAAATTATTTTTAGTCTAATTTGGATGCTTTAAAAAGAATTGCAATGTTTAAAGAGAATATTATGTTATAAATATAAATTTAGTAATATGTTTTTTTAAAAGTGGGAGGATTTAAATTTTTAGTAATATATTTTTCTAAAGAGGAGGATCCAAATTTATACTCTTTAAATATTGCAATTCGTTTTCAAAGCATCCAAACTAAACTAAAAATAATTTGGGATGAAAAAAGTGGCAATAATATTAATAATAATAATCCAAAGGCATGCTAAGCACGAATTTGTTTTACTAAGGCAATGAAATTATTATAAAATATATCATGTATATTAAAACTGTGGGATTAAAAAAACCAATTAAAAAATAAGAAAATGATTAATTATCTTGAATCCAATTCAAATTAAGAGTTATCATGAATCCAATTCAAATTAGAATTATGGATGGGTTGGACGAATGCCCTATATTTGAGTTTAATTTGATACCCTTAGAAATGATCATAAAATTCAAAAACAAGATTTTCGAGAACTACTTCTTTTCTTTTTTTATCTCTCTGCTATCTCATCCACAATATTAATGAGAAAAGGGTCAAAAGTATCCTTAAACTATGTGAAAGAAATAAAAATGTCCTCCGTTTATAATTTGGCTCAAAAATGTCTTTACCGTCTATACTTTGGTTCAAAAATCCCCATAAACTATGCAAAAGGAACAAAAATTTCCTCCGTTTGTAATTTGCTCTAAAAATGTCTTTGTCGGCAATACTTTGGTCCAAAAATGCCCTTAAACTATGCGAAAGGAACAAAAATGCCCTCATTTTGTAGTTTGCTCTAAAAATGTCTTTGTCGTCAATACTTTGGTCCAAAAATGCCCTTATTGTTATTTAATGAGTCAAAAATGCTTCCAAATAAATATATTATTTATTTTCTTTAACACATTCTTTTTTAAAAATTTTTTTTTTTTTAAATAGCAAATGTTTATCTTACTTCAATTCATAAAAAAATAAAAAAATGAAAATATTTTCTTCTTTTATTATCATTATTTTTTATCGTTATATAAATATAAATTATGATTGATATACTATGACCTTATATCTATATGACATATATTATATGTCGAAAAGGCACATGACGTTATACTATTTAATTGATAAAATGAGATTAAGAAGAAAAAAAATATTTCCTATATTTTTATTTGTTAAAGTGATTTTAGAAGAAAGAAAACAAGAATAGTGTTCTTTAATAATATTTAATTAGGAAGAAAATGTGTTTAAAAAGAAAATATATATATATATTTATTTGGAAAAGGAGCATTTTTGACCCATTTTGTAACTATAGGAGCATTTTTTGACCAAAGTATTGAGTGCAAGGGCATTTTTGAACCAAAGTATTAATGGCAAGGGCATTTTTGAGCCAAACTATAAACGGAGGGCATTTTTGTTCCTTTCATATCATTTAAGGACATTTTTTACCCCTTTCCCTTATTGATATTAAAGTTCAAAATTATATTAGTACAGAAAAATACACTCTAAATAATAAAAGAAAGAAAAAATAAACTACATTATATATGAACATAATAATAATATACAACTATTTATAGCAAATTAATAATAACACAAAAACTTGGGACAGCCTGAAAGTTGAAAGAGAATAATTATAATATATACAATTTTTTCATTTTAGACATGTAATACTTGGCCATTTAAGAAAAAGAGAAGGGGAAAACTGAAACAAATAAAATATAAAATCAAAAAGGAAAGAAGGAAAGAAAGAATACAATAGTATTACAGAATTTTGGAGAACTAATCTTTTTTCCCTCTTTTACATCTATAAGTTGTTTTTAGTAAAAATCCAGTCAATTTGACGAACTGAGACTACTCTATGCAATATACAATAACCATATATTTAATATAATTTTATAAATGGAGAAGGGATTAAAATGTCCTTCAACTATTTGAATTCGTACAAAATTATTCTCCATCCACCTTTCGACGCCCTAGTACCCTTGAGATCAATCTTTTGGCTCAAGACAATTGAATAATTGATAGAAATTTTATATTAATGAAAAATAATAAAAAAATTTAGATGAAAAATCATATGGAGCGAGTTGAGTTATAATGAATTGAGGGTTATTTTAAAATAGGTCAATTATAACATATCATGAAATTAACAATTTTTTTGATATTATATTTGAGTGTATCGAGTCAAAACATGAATCATGTGTGATTTTTATTATTTATTTGCGAATAGTTTAAATTTGGATACGTTAGATTAGGTAACATAATAAATAAATATATAATGATTTTAATTTAGGGGACTTTGTTAAAATTAAGGGCAAATATGTATCAAGGGTATTTTTGGGCCAAAAAATTGACGTCGGGGGTATTTAGAGGTCAAAAGGTGGATGAAGCGTAGTTTTGTACCAATTCAAATAGTTGAGGAACACTTTAAGAAGCCCTTCTCCATTTTATAAATTAACAATTGAAAAGTATAAAATGTACACAAATTTTATCATTGCCCAAAGACAATTCTATGTATTCTATTCTACTATATTATAAAAGAGAGTTTAGGGCCGAGTATAATAAATAATATTCAAGATTGGGACTTTTCTTGAATATTATATATTATATTTATTATATAGTTTGGGCATAAACTCAGCATTAAAAATTACAATAATTACCAATTTAAAATATTTAAAAGCTATATAATAACATAAGGTGACTCTGAATTCTATTAGGCTCACATATATTGGGATAGAAAAAATAACACATATCATTTTAATATTACCAAAAAAGTATTATAAATAATAATAATTAACAACTTAAAATATCTTAAAGACATTTTTAAAAGGGGTTAATTTTTATAATTTTATCCATATCATATAAATTAGGACAAAGTGACCAGAAATGTACATTATTTCAAAATTACATAAAAAAATTTATAAATCACAATAATTAATAACTTCAAACATTTAAAAAAAAAATATAAAAATTTAGATGACTCTCCAAATTTCATTTGTGTCACATAAATTGAAACAACAAAAATAACATATATTC